GTAAAAGGGAGAAAATTATATTGAGTTCATCTCAAAAATTTCATGTAAAATTTACTCAGAAGAATCCTGCAAAAGGTCTTAATATAACTAATACAGGTAAACAGTCAAAATGAAGAAGACCATTGACTTTACTGGGGCTTTATTATGTAGGCATGGTCGAATGAATCATTAGTCTTGGGGCCCAGTCTCCAGTCTCCTTCCCCTCCATAGACTGATATCACCTGGTTCAAAGTACCAGCCCTCAATCACATGGTTAGTCTTTCTGGTGTGATCAGCCCCCATCCTGAGTCATCCATTATCATAAAATTATCTTGCCCTCCCCCCAAAACTCATCTGTCCGGTGTAAACTGTCAGGTGTGGTCTGAGGGAACCCTCATAAATAAGAAAGACTCCTGTCACTTAGCAGATTCTAAGGATTTAATGGCTATCTTCCAGGATCTGGGGACAAAATTCAGCCAGCCTATTAATTATACAGGTGCACACAATTTAGAATTGTTATATGTTCTTGGTGAACTTAACATTTTATGATTATGAAGGGTCTCTCTAGCAATGTTTTAAAAACATGTGTTGATTTAATTCACATTTGATAAAAGTCACCCTTTTAAAGTATACAATTCAGTGGATTTTTAGTATATTCACACAATTGTGTACCTCACCATTATTCTCCCTCCAGAACATTTTCATCACTCCAAAATGAAACTCTATACCCATGCACAGTCCCTCCCTATTCTGCCTATCCACCCCCAGCCCCTGGCAACTCCCAGTCTACCTTCTGTCTCTATGTATTTGCGTATTATGGACATTTCATATAAATGGAATCATACACATCCTTTTGGGGTGGTTTCTTTTACTTAACATAATGTTTTCAAGGTTCATCCATGTATCAGTACTTTATTCTCTTTTTATGGTCAAGTTATATTCCATAGTATAGATAGACCACATTTTGTTTACCCATTCATCAGCTAATGGACACTGGTTTCCACTTTTCTGGATATTAATATAATGGGCTTCGAACATCCGTGTGCAACTTTCGTGTGGTCTATCAATAGTTTTTGACTTAAAATATATTTTGTCTGGGCGCCTGGGTGGCGCAGTCGGTTGAGCGTCCGACTTCAGCCGGGTCACGATCTCTCAGTCCGTGAGTTCGAGCCCCGCGTCGGGCTCTGGGCTGATGGCTCAGAGCCTGGAGCCTGTTTCCGATTCTGTGTGTCTCCCTCTCTCTCTGCCCCTCGCCCATTCATGCTCTGTCTCTCTCTGTCCCAAAAATAAATAAACGTTAAAAATATATATATTTTGTCTGATATTGTATTTAAAAATTTGTCAAAATAATTTCAGGCTTAGGGTGGTATCTTTTTTCTAAAGAGGATATTCACTTGACCCTCAGGTACCCGAAGGTATTAGCAATTCAGGATTCCTTTTACATAGTTTTAAGGTTACAGCTGATTTGGACTTGGGCTGCAGACCCCTACCAGGGCAGATCTGTATGCTATTCACTCTTACCTCCAGGGTTCAGTGGTTCCTGGTATCCAACACAAAATATAGGAGTTTTATCAGTTATCCACTCTTGGCAGGCCATGGACTCCAACTTTTATAACCCTGGAGTCATCACAGTGTCAGAGATGAGTGCCTTGCTTCTCAGCCTTACCATTTTCAGAACTGGCCAGTGCCCCTCAGGGGAAAAGGGGCTCCAAGTTCTCCTGAATTTCAGAACTTATTCTCCTGAAATTCTGTACACACTGTTAGCTTACTGGTGCTTATCAACAGACTGTGTGTGTGTGTGTGTGTGTGTGAGAGAGAGAGAGAGAGAGATTAATGGGAGTTACCTATTTTGCCATTACTCAAAGTGGAAGCCTCTGTTATATTTTTTTGTCAGTCATTTTTATCTTTCCTATTATCAGGTTGATCCTGCTTAATATATAAAACAGCAAAACAAATGTTACCAAATGTTTTTATTTTGGGGAAGAATCTTTTGATCTTAAAATGGTTCTTTTCTTTAAAATCACCATTTTTCACATATTTAATGTTATCTATTTTCCTATTCAGAGGTGCATTGCCCAGGATTTGAATTGGCTTCAGTTGGTGTTCAGATATTTTCACTATCCTCCATGGTCTTTTTTGTCCAGAGAGATAAACTCAAATCTATCAGGACTTTAGATTTAAACTTTTAGGAATTGAATCACTATACTATACACCTGAGCTAATATAACACTGAATGCTAAATAATTGGGATTAAAATTAAAACTTTAAAAAATAGGGGCATCTAGCTGGCTCAATTGGAAGAGCATGAAACTCTTGATCTTGGGGTCATGAGTTCAAGCCCCATGTTGGGTGTAGAGATTACTAAAAATAAATAAATAAATAAACTTTAAAAATAAACTTTAAAGGAGATACATAGAAGAACAAATTATTTAATGACACAAAAAATAATTGGAGAGGGGCGCCTGGGTGGCGCAGTCGGTTAAGCGTCCGACTTCAGCCAGGTCACGATCTCGCGGTCCGTGAGTTCGAGCCCCGCGTCGGGCTCTGGGCTGATGGCTCGGAGCCTGGAGCCTGTTTCCGATTCTGTGTCTCCCTCTCTCTCTGCCCCTCGCCCGTTCATGCTCTGTCTCTCTCTGTCCCAAAAATAAATAAACATTGAAAAAAAAATTAAAAAAAAAAAATAATTGGAGAGATCCAATTATTTGGATCCAGTTAACTGGGACATCATGACAACTGACCCAATTCCTCCACAGGTCAAAGATCTGAAAAGGTAAACTGAAAGGGCTGTATTCAAGGATAAATGCACCTGAGTAGATAAATGGAATGAACAACTCTGGATGCTGACTTGAACAAACCAGTTATGAAAGATTTGGGAGGTAATTGGAAAATCTGAATAGGGATTAGGTATGTCAAAAGGCAATTTCTGCATACTGAATGAAACAAAGCAGGATGAGTTTACGGCAAGGCTTTTGACCTGCAAACCAGGAATCTCAAAGCTACAGAAACAAGAGTTCTGAGTTGTTCACAGGCTAAGGGGTATTTATGGGACAAATATGGAAGTCATTTGTCTTTTTTAGTTGATTGGTTGCCCAGTGGTCTTCTTTCTTATTTGGATCAGGGTAGCTGAGTCAAGGAAAGGAAGTCCAGACATAGCCGTGAACAGACTTGGCATTTGGGGATTGACTGGTGTCCTCCACTGATTTCTGAGATGAGCTGTAAATTCCTGTAAGGTTAGGTTAAGTTTCCTTTTTGCACCTGCATTAACCATCTACATTTTGTCCCTGACCTAAGAGACTCCATTTTAGTTTGGTTCTGCCACCAAACTAATGTGAGTTTGCTCCTTGGTGAGTTACAGATAGAGACAACACCAAGTGGAGCTGTCACACAAAGGAAATTTTATTTACAGCAAATAAGGAGATCACAGGGAATAACTTCCAAAGCTGTGACTCCCCTGGCAGCGGTGAGAGGTTTCTTTTTGGGGTTTAGGATGAATATTCAGTAGGAGGAGCTTTGTCATTTTATGCAAAGGTGGGCACAAGGTCGTGCATAGGCGCTTAGAAAACATGCCTACACATGCATCCTATGTTATGTTAATGAACTCTTGTGCTTCTCTTCGGGTGGAGACTTCAATAGGATAATGAAGCAGAGGTAACTGTCGGACAAGGAGAAGGGGCTATGGGCATGCTCTGAGAGCCAGTATAAACTGGATGAGGTCTTGGGCTCTTTATCTCAGGTGAGGAATGAAAGGTCTTGTTTACTTTGGAAAGCTCCCAGGAGCTTCTTTCCATTTACTAGAAGGATGCTGCTCAATTCATGAATGGTTACATAAAGCCAATTAGATTTTTTAATTTACTTGGCTTTTTTTTTAAACACAACTCATTTTTTTTTATTTTTTATTTTTATTTATTTTTTTTCAATGTTTATTTATTTTTGGGACAGAGAGAGACAGAGCATGAACGGGGGAGGGGCAGAGAGAGAGGGAGACACAGAATCGGAAACAGGCTCCAGGCTCTGAGCCATCAGCCCAGAGCCCAACGCGGGGCTCGAACTCCCGGACCGCGAGATCGTGACCTGGCTGAAGTCGGACGCTCAACCGACTGCGCCACCCAGGCGCCCCTCATTTTTTTTTTTTTTAAATGAAGTTCAAGATATTTCTCTTTTAGGCATAATCAACATTTGTATCTACTTTTTGTATATTCTTAGCATATTGGAATGAATAGATCATGCCACAAAACGGTGTCAAGAGCCCTTAGGTGCCTTGTGGAATAAAGGAGGCAGAGGAGTCAAACACACTCCCTTTACCTCTGTTCCTTCCCCTCCGCACGAGACACAGCGTGGAACAGCTATGGTCACCAAAGACTGAAATTTCCTATCTACCTACCTCCTTTACCACCGTCTACCATCTACGTTAACATAACTGTTCAGTCGTCATTAGCACACGTTTACTACTCCAGGGGATTCCTGTCCTAGCAAAGTGCTTGATTGTTCAACAAAGTAACTTCCACAAGGTCCATCAATTCTTCAATCTCTGCAAAAGAAAGCAACCGTTGGCACCTAAAAACCCTTGCTGTTCTCCCCAATCCTGGCCTACGCGAGTCTAATCCAAGTCCATCGCACTGAAAGACCCGCCTGCAACCGAACTTGCAATTCTCAGTAAATTCAACCTTGACTTCGTGTCCGTGTCAAGGTGCCGTGTCCATCGCGGTGGTGTTCTCCGTCCCTGCGATTAGCAATAAACTCCGTGTATTACCCGACGGTGGTATTGGAGATATCGGGGAGCCGGCATTTGATACAAGTTTGAGATCCAGCCTTCCCCTAAAAATTTTGGTCCGTTTTTCTTCAATACGACCGAATTTTTTTCAACTCGCAATTTTCTCAGGCGCTCTAAGAAATGAATAAAACAAAAAGAAACCTGACACAGCACCAGCGAGGTAACCCAACCTGAAGCCGCTTTACACCCAAACAAGAGTCAGCTGTTGGAAGCGCGGTCCCGCAAGCTGCATCCTGGGAAATGTAGTCCAGGAGTTGCGTGAAATCGGAGGCGCTTCCGTTTGGGCATTCTGGGAAGTGTAGTCCAGGAGCGGGGTACAGTCGGGGACACTTCCGCTCCAGGAAGGCGAGGTCGGGCCGAGATTGTTGGCAGGGAGGTGAGTTACCCCGCGCCCCTGCGGTCCCTCCGAGCCTTCTCGGCCTCGGCGTGAGGCCAGCAGCCGCCGGGTCCTCGCTCATGGGGCATGGGAGTCGCGGCGGAGGGCGGGGACGGAGGCAGCGGCGACGAAGCCTCCGCGTGGGGGCGGGCGCGCGTGGCGTGCGGAGTTTGAAGGTCTCCCGCGCTCTCCGCGCCCAGAGCTCTCCTCCCTCACCCCTAGAGCCAGCTGTGCGTGTGCCTCGAGGTGACACACTGGGCCAGTGATTAGCATTTCCCTGCCTCCGTTTCCCCCTGGCTGAAAAGGGTTAGTGCCTGCCCAGTAGTGTTCTTCCAAGAATTAGATGAGATTATATACGAAACGCTTAAAACCAGTGCCTAGTGCCTAGTAAAATGTTGGGTGGTGCCGGGAATGCTGTCATAATATCGGGCCCCCTGTTATTTAGAAGCTCCTGAGAGGCTGGCATTGGGGGCGTGGGGTCGGAGCCCCGGCTGCAGCTCCACTGGCCCTTCACCGATCTCTGCTGTGGGGCCGTTCCGGGATTCCGGGACTCTTCCCAGACCCTTGGTTGGGAAGGAGAGTTATCTTCAGCTGGATCCCGGGGAAAGTTCTTTGTGGCTGATCCCGGAGAAACAGTCCTGCGCACGACTTCGCAGAGTGCCTGCGGTGTACTGAGTCCTTAAGTGTTGAGAACGTGTAATAGCTGCGTGTTGTTCATTTAAGATGCAGCAGGATTTCTTAGTCTGCGGTTTCAATCAGTCATTGCCTGCATGCATATGGGAGAGGAAACTTTGTTGAGCTTAATAACATGCTCAAGTAATTACACCTATTAAAATGGTGTCATTGGGGGGAAATCATGGCAGTTTTTCATTAGCAGCAGAACAGATTATCTGTGGGCAACCAGTCGGAATTAGACTTTCCTAGGGGCTCCTGGGTGGCTCAGTCGGTTGAGCCTGCAACTTGGGCTCGGTCGGGATCTCACCGTTGGTGAGTTCGAGCCCCGAGTCAGGCTCCGTGCTGGCAGCCCAGAGCCTGGAGCCTGCTTCGGATTCTCTGTGTGTGCCTCTCTCAGAAATAAATTAAACGTTAAAAAATAATAATAATAATTAGACTTTCCTAGGGTATCGGTGACTCGCCACCTGGAGCCTTCATCTCTGAATTAGTGGGTTTCTGAAAAGATTTATTTTCTAGAAAGCACATTTGCAAGGGAAGTTTTGGGAAGCATAAAAGCATCTGCCTGTCTGACACCTTAGGGAATAGGGAATACCCGCATTATTATTATACCCATTTACAGGTGACTGGATTGAGGCACAGAAAGATTAATAATTTGCTCAAGGTTTACACTGGTGGTGAGTAGAAAGTAGTAAGTAGAAATGCAGAGCTTGAACCCATGCACCTTGGCCCCGTTAAGTTATACTGCCTGCCTGCTTCTCATTTCCTCTGAGACCCAGGCTCAGGAATACTCTGGAAGCTACCAGAAGCACTTAGGTGAGGGACTGTTGCTGAGCTCAGGCAGCCGTCTGGGGGAACCCAGAGGAAGCTGGAATCCAGCCCCTGGTCTACAGGGGCACCTCTTGGGGTTCCCACAAGTGCCACGTGGACTGACGGCTCTCTCACGACGGCTTTCCCATCAACAGCTTTGCCTTCCCAGAACTCTGCCCTTCCCCAAAAGGAAAAGGAGAAAAAAATGACCAAATTCCAGGTAAGTTGGTTTTGCCTTTCTGTTCCTTAAAATGACCTCTCGTTTCACAAAGTGTGGACGCATTAACCCCCTACTTGGGAAGGGTGGAAGCATTTACCCTCCTACTTGGCAAGAACCCCAGGCACTTGAATAATTGTTGTGTACCAGCCTCTTGTTTTTTGTTTATTGCCAAATAACAGCGTGAAAATTGATATTTAAAAAACTTAAAAAAAAAAAAAAACTTGCACGTTCTAAACCTGTTTACAAATGAACAGTTTTAATTGTGCCGTATTCTTTCCCATTTGTGTTTATGTGTCTGGACTTGTAATCACAGTTTAAGTAGCATTTTGGATTTTTAATATTTTATTTCTTTTAATGTGTATTTCATTATCTTGAGAGAGAAAGAGAAAGAGTGTGAGTGAGCAGGAGAGGGGCAGGGAGAGAGAAGGAGATAGAACCCCAAGCAGGGTCTGAGCTGTCAGTGCAGAGCCCGACACAGGGCTGAGTCCCACGAACAGTGAGATAATAACCTGAGCTGAGATCAAGAGTCTCAACCCACAGAGCCACCCAGGTGGCCCCCATTTTGGGTTTTTAAAATGCAACTTGATAATTACCTACAGTGTAAAGGGTCACATTATTTTCTGTAATTTACCTGCTGTTTTACCCCATTCTCCATATAAAACCCACATGGATTTTACCATTTTTGAGATGTTTACAATAACAATTTGCTTACATATAACCTTTCACCCCTTACAGAAATTCTGAGAAGTCAGTCATTTTTTTATTTCTCTTGAAAGTTCTGGGGACTCGATTGTTTTCTCACATGTGGTGCCTCATTCATCGTGATAAGAATGTCTGCAATATGGCTTGCTTGGTGCAGCGGAGTCTGCCAGAGACTGAACTCAGAAAATAATTTTAGTTTTCAAACAGCAAGAGCTAGATTCTGAGAGTGCCTGGCTGGCTCAGGGTAGAGCGTGTGACTCTTGATCTTGGGGTTGTGAGTTCAAGCCTCAAATTGGGTGTACAGGTTACTTAAAAATGAATAAGTAAATAAATTTAAATACTTCTTAAAAGCTAGATTCCTTTTTTTAATTCTAAGTTAAATCGTGTGTATTATATAGTTAAATATTTGTTTTATTCGTTGATGCGTTAGTATGTTTTGAAGAAGCACATTTTTTTTTTAATTTTTTTTTTCATGTTTATTTTTTGAGAGAGAGAGAGAGACAGAGTTTGAACGGGGAGGGGCAGAGAGAGAGGGAGACACAGAATCTGAAGCAGGCTCCAGGCTCCCAGCTGTCAGCACAGAGCCTGATGTGGAGCTCGAACCCACAAGCTGTGAGATAATGACCTGAGCCGAAGTCAGACGCTTAGCTGACTGAGCCACCCAGGCGCCCCAGCACATACTTATTTTTAAAAATCTTGAGCACTAGGGATTTGCCAGGCATTTACTCTGTGGAACAGCTGTGTGAGGATATACCTGGTCTTCTCTGCGTTTTCACATGAAGAAACAGGTTTGTGAACCTTCAGATACCTCCTGAAATCCACTCGGTTCCCAGCTGACCCTAAAGTTCCCATTGCCTAAGTCGGGAGTTTCAGGTGTCCGATTAGGGTAAATGGAAAGACCCAGAAGAAAAGAGACTTCTCTGTTCGGGGACCTCAGGCCAGGCTACATGTATGCTGGCAGATCTGGTGGATGGGGGTCTCCAAACATAACATTGTCATCACCTGATTCCTTTTCTTAGTGCCTGTCTCTTCTGTGTCAGACGTGTCAAGTCGTTGTTTAGTACACAGGTGCTCAGAACTCCAGCTAGAGGTTTTATTTCCACGCAGAAAAAGTTATGACACAAATAGGAAACAGGAGTTGGGGGGGGGGGGGTGGTGGCTAAGAATTTATACATGCTAGAAAAAAGGCTTGATATTCTCAGTAGGAATTTTACTGACGCATACGATACTCCGGTAGGATTATGAACAAAGGAAATGAACAGGTAATATGTGAAAACAAATGGAAAGATGATCTTTTATTATTATTTGAGCGTAGTTGCCACACTGTGTCGAAAAGACTTATGTTCTCGTTGTTTTGTTTTGAAGATTTTATTTTTAAATAATCTCTACACCATATGTGGGGCTCAGACTCACAGCCCTGAGATCAAAAGTCCCAAAGCTCTACCAACGGAGGCAGCCAGGCGCCCCCAGTTTGGGCCAGAGTGTAGAGAATCCAGAATACTTGTAACAGGAAGAGTTAACTTGTACAGGAAGAGTTAATGGGGAAAATTGCCATTATATTAACAAAATCAAGGTGCTTATTTTTCAAGAGTGCAAATGCCACTTCCTGGAACTTATCCTAGGGAAGTAACAGGACAGTTGGCTGAGATCTGTATAAAAACCGTATGAAGGGCACGAGGCTACCTGTATACAAGGTATTTTTCTCCTTCTTCTCTCTCCTTCCCCTCCCCTGCACGGCCCTAGCGTGTTTGGTAAGACTGTGGAAGGGGAAGAGGAGAAACTATGAGAAGAGTTGCTCGGTTCCCTCAGAATCAGGAACGGCTTCCCCCGTATCTCCACCTTCTCTTCCCCCGTGTCTCCACCTTCTCCGTGCTGCCCCGCTCCCAGTGGCCATGGGGTGCGAGCTCGAGGTTACGTGTGCTTGGTGTTGTAGGAGGCGGTGACGTTCAAGGACGTGGCTGTGGTCTTCACGGAGGAGGAGCTGGGGCTGCTGGACCCCACCCAGAGGAAGCTGTACCGAGAAGTGATGCTGGAGAACTTCCGGAACCTGGTCTCTGTGGGTGAGCACAAGACCTTTCTGTCACTCATCCCCTCGAGCAGGGTTTCTTCACCTTGGCGCTGTTGGCATCGGGGCAGATATTTCTTTGTTGTGAGGGCCGTCCTGTGCCTATTGGGATGTTGAGTGACATCCCCGGCCTCCGCCCACTAGTTTAAGGCTTCAGGGCTCCTCAGAGACCAGGGTTTCCCAGTCCCTTTAGAACATGGAGACAAGATGTTTCTAGTCTTTGTTCCGAGGCAGACATGGTCTCGTGTAAATGAACTGTAAATGAACAGTTAAGCTTGTCTTCGCCTGGCTCCATATTTCAGGCATCTTTTTTAAACTTGTAGATCATGAGCCACTGGTGGGTCAGGACGTTCGTAAATGGCACCGACTATCTTCTAATCTAGAATACTTACAGGACAGAGCTCCTTAGCGGGGGTTCACCTTGACGCGTTAAGTTCAGCTGTTTACATTGAGGGGTGTCAGACGGGGAAGGATGTGAGGAAGACAGACAGTGGTTAGAAACCGTTCGTTTGGTCATTTATTTCGGTAATTTGTGTGGTAAGAATAGATTTCTAATGATGCCAAGCGTACTGCTCACCGCGGGTCGTGACGGAAAAGTGTTTGGTAACCACTGCTGCGGGGAGGGGCAGAGCCTCACATTATGGGATGGGAACCCACGGTTTTCAGTACTCGCGCCCTTCGTGTTTTCACTCGCGTCTTCTCTTTCCACAGGGCATTCATCCTCCAAACCAGATGTGATATCCCAGTTGGAGAGAGAGGAAAAGCTTTGCACGAAGGAGATCCACACCCAGAGGGGTAGGCACTCGGGTGAGAATGGCGCGGCTCGGGTCCTGGCAGGGGACGGTCCCCTCGATCTGCCTGCGTCCTGGCTAATCTCCGTGCAGCAGCCAGAGAGGCCCCTCGAAACCTCAGTCCCGCTGCGTCACACCTGCTTCAGTCCCTCCCCGGGCTTCTGCTTTTACAGAATAAAACCCAGCGTGTTCCAGGGGCCTGGAAGGTCCTGTGGTATGGGCTCGTTCCCCCAGCCTCACCACTCGTTCTACGTTTTTCTCCCGTCACGTCCCCCTCCCTCTGTCTGCCCGCCTCACGGCACTCAGGAGCTTCTGCATCAGGACCTTTCCCGTTCTCTCCTCCGGCCGGAATGCTGCCAGCCGGTGCACGTCTGACCGCTCTTGCTTTCTCTCTCGCTCCTGTCTATCCGAAGTCCTTCTATCCAAGGCCTTATCCGACCACCACTTCAAATGCCATCTCCCGGCACTCGCCGTGTCCCTGACTTGCCTTCGTTTGCGCGTAAGCACTATACCACCAGACTTATTAGCATCTGGGATTTTTACATTGTGGTAAAATACACACAATACCCTTTGTCTCAACCATCTTCAAGTGGGCCTTAGGTACATCCACACTGTTGCACAACCCTCCGTGCTGTCCATCTCCAGAACGTTTCCATCATCCCACACTGGAACCCTGCACCGTAAACAGCGCCCCCTGTTCTTCTCTTACCCCACTTCCTGGCGACCACCGTTCTCCTTTCCGTCTCTGTGGATTTGACTATTTCACGTACCTCATGGAAGTGGAGTCATACGACATTTGCCATTTGCACCTGGTTTGTTTCACTTAGCATAACGTCTTCAAGGTTGGTTGTGTTGTAACGCATGTCAGAATTTCCTTCTTTTTTATGGCTGAGTAACGTCGCGTCGTGTGCACCTATCACGTTTTCGTCATCCATTGATGGACATTTGGGCTTGTACCATTTGGTTTTGGTGAAAAATGCTGCTGTGAACATGGGTGTACAAATATCTGTTCAAGTTCTTGCTTTCCATTTTTTGTGTGTATACCCAGAACAAAAGTGTTGGATCGTGTTAGCAATTCTATTTTTTTTTTCCTTGGGAGAGGAAGGGAGGGGGAGAGAGAGAGAGAGAGACTGCAAGCAAGTTGGGGAGGGCAGAGCGACAGAGAGGGGGAGAGAGAGAATCTTAAGCAGGTTCCATGCCCAGCACAAAGCCCCAGGGAGGCTCTATCTCACGACCGTGAGATCATGACCTGTGCTGAATCAAGAGTCAGATGCTTACCCGACTAAGCCACCCAGGTGCCCCTGGTTATTCTGTTTTTAATTTTTGAGGAACTGCCATACCGTTTTTCACGATAGCTGCACTATTTTATGTTCCCACCAGCAATACACAAGGGTTCCAGTTTTCTTCATCCTCACCAACACTTGTGTTCTGTGGGTTGTTTTGTTTTTTTTTTTTTTACGCTTAATAGCCACCCTAATGGGTGCAAAGCCGTACCTCGTTTTGATTTGCGGTTCTCTGATAATTAGTGATATTGATCATCTTTTCATGTGCTTATTAGCCATTTGTGTTTCTTCTTTGGAGAAATATCTGTGCAAGTCTTTTGTCCATTTGTGAGTCCAATTGTTTGTTTTCCTTTGAGTTTTAGGAGTTCTCTGTGTTCTGAATACCAATCCTGTTTCAGATATATGATTTGCAAGTATTTTCTCATTTTCTTTTTTAATTTTTTTTTTCAACGTTTATTTATTTTTGGGACAGAGAGAGGCAGAGAGAGAGAGGGAGACACAGAATCGGAAACAGGCTCCAGGCTCTGAGCCATCAGCCCAGAGCCTGACGCGGGGCTCGAACTCACGGACCGCGAGATCGTGACCTGGCCGAAGTCGGACGTTTAACCGACTGCGCCACCCAGGCGCCCCAAGTATTTTCTCATTTTGTGTGTGGCCTTTTTACTCTATTGACAGTGTCTTCTGATGCACAAGAGTTTTTAATTTCCATGAAATTTTCAAATTTGTCTGTGTGTTGTCTTCCCTGTGCCTTTGGTGTCCTAGCCAAGAAATCAGTGTCAAATCCAGTATCACAAAGCTTTTGGCGTATTCTTTCTCCTAGGAGTTTTATAGTTTTTGCTCCTATGTTTTGCTTTTTGATGCATTTTGAGGTAATTTGTGAATATGGTGTAAGGAAAGATCTGACTTCACGCTTTTGCGTGTAAATAGCCAATGTTTCCAGCACCATTTATTGAAAAGACTGTTCTTTTCGCATTCAATGGTCTTGGCACCCTTGTCAAAAACCACTTGACTGTGTATGCAATGGTTCATTTTGGGGCCTTCTAGACTATTCCCTCGGTCTGTATGTCTTTATGCCAGTACCACACTTTTTTGACTACAGCAGCTTTATAGTAAGTTTTGAAATCAGGAATTGATTACCTCCAACTTTTTTTGTTTTTTAAAGGTTGTTTTGGCCACTCAGGGTCCCTTGAGATTCCATGTGAATTTAGGATGGGTTTTTGTTTCTGTATTGTTGGGATTTTGATAGAGATTGCATTGAACCTGTAGGTCCTTTGACCATGTAGCACTGATATCTTCACAATAGTAAACCTTCCAATTCAGGAACATGGGCTGTCATTCCATTTTTTTAATGTTTTTAATTTATCAATGTTTTGTACTTTTCAGTGTGCATGTCTTTCACCTCCTTGGTTCAGTTAATTCCCAAGTTTTATTCTTTTTGGTGCTATTGTATATGGATTTTTTTTTTTTTTTTAATTTACATCCAGGTTAGTTAGCATAGGATTTCAGGAGTAGAATCCAGGCATTCATCCCCTACATGTAACACCCAATGTTCGTCCCAACAAGTGTCTTTCTTAATGCCCCTTGCCCATTTAGCCCATCCTCCCACCCACAGCCCCTCCAGCAACCCTCAGTTTGTTCTCCACATTTATGAGTCTCTTCTGTTTTGTCCCCCTCCCTGTTTTTATATTATTTTTGTTTCCCTTCCCTTCTGTTCATCTGTTTTGTCTCTTAAAGTCCTCATGTGAGTGAAGTCATATGATTTTTGTCTTTCTCTGACTAATTTCACTTAGCATAATACCCTCTAGTTCGATCCACGTAGTGGGACATGGCAAAATTTCATTCTTTTTGATTGTTAAGTAATACTTCATATATACATATGGTATGTATGCATATATATTATATTATATTATATTATATTATATTATATTATATATATTATATATACATACACACATATATACACATACCACATCTTCTTTATCCATTCATCCATCGATGGACATTTGGGCTCTTTCCATACTTTGGCTACTGTCGATAGTGCTGCTATAAACGTTGGGGTGCATGTGCCCCTTTGAAACAGCATACCTGTATCCCTTGGGTAAATACCTAGTAGTGCAGTTTTTGGGTCATAGGGTCATTGTTTTTAATCTTTTGAGGAACCTCCATACTATTTTCCAGAGTGGCTGCACCAGCTTGCATTCCCACCATCAGTGCAAAAGAGATCCTCTTTCTCCACATCCTCACCAACATCTGTTGTTGCCTGTGTTGTTAATGTTAGCCATTCTGACAGGTGTGAGGTGGTATCTCATTGTGGCTTTGATTTGTTTTTCTCGATTTCCTTTTCTGATTGTTCATTCTTTGTATGTAGAAATGCAACTGGTTTTTGTGTGTGGCTTTGTATCCTGCTGAATTCATTTATTTTAACAATTCTTATGTGGAATCTTTCAGGCTTTCTGCATATAAGATCATATTATCTATGAACATAAATGATTTTACATCTTTCTTCCCAATTTCCATCACGCACCCCACCCCCAGCTCTTACTACCATAAATCTGATCTCTGTTTCTGTAAATTTGATATTTTTAGATTCCACACATAAATGAGATCATAGGGTATTTGTCTTTCTGTGTCTGACTTATTCCACTTAGCATAATGCCCGCAGAGTCCATCCATGTTGTTACACATTTTCTTCTTTTTTATGGCTGAATCATATTCCTGCGTGTGTGTGTGTGTGTGTGTGTGTGTGTGTGTGTGTGTGTGTGACATTTTCATTATCTGTTCGTTAGTTATGAACACTTGGGTGATTTCCATGTCTCAGCTATTGTAAATAATGCAGTGAACGTGGGGGTGTAAATATCTCTTTTGAACCATGATTTTGTTTCCTTTGGATATATATCCAGAAGTGGCATTGTTGGATCTCTTTTTTGATGCACGTATTTACAGATAAAAATTTTCTTCTTTGCAATGCTTTCACTGCTTCCCCTAAGTTTTGGTACCCTGGATTTTCATTTTCATTTGTCTCCAGATATTTTCTAATTTTATTTGTGATTGTTTTTCTTTGATTCATTGGTTATTGATAAGTATGTTTTGAGTTCCACATATTCGTCAGTTTTCCAAGATTTCCTGCTTTTGATTTCTAGCTTCAGTCCATTGCGATTAGAAAAATTTGTTGTATGATTTCATTCAATCTTTTAAAAAAAATTTGTTAAAGACTTGTTTTATGGCTTCACATATGGTCTGCCCTGGAGAACGACTTGAGAAAAATGTATATTATGCTGTTGTTGGGTGGCATTTCCTGTGTATGTTAGGTCCAGTTGGCTTGTAGTGTTAAGTTCTCTATTTCCTTGATCTTTTGTCTAGTTCTATCCATTACTGAAAGCAGGATATTGAATGTTCCTTCTGTTACTATCGATAGCTATTTATCCCTTCAATTCGTCTATATTTGCCTCATATATTTGGTATTTTGATGTTTAGTATATATCCATTTGTAATTTTTATATCTTCTTGGTGCATTGACTCTTTTATCAGTACACATTGTTTCTTATAAGTTTTTGACTTAAAACTCTTTTTTGTCTGACATCAGTTATAGCTATCCAGCTCTCTTTTGCATGGGATATCTTTCTGTCCTGTCACTTTCTGTTTTTCTTCTTCTTCTTTTTTAATGTTTATTCACTTTTGAGAGAGAGAGGGTGTGAGTGGGGGAAAGGCATGGTTGGGGGAGCAGAGGATCCAT